TCTGAACGCGATATCAAAAGTGACTCAAAACAATTCTGGGCATTTATAAAGAAAAAGAAGCAGTTGTGTCAAACATACCTACTACTATGAATTATAATACTAACACAATTCCGTCTCTACCTGAAATTGTAAACTCTTTAGCGGACTATTTTATGCAGTCGTTTTCACATGATACATCAATAAATTTGATTTTTCAAAATGAAGTTTGTTGTTCCTTCGTTTTGAATTCGCGACTGTAGCTTTGTTTTTAGCAAACCTCTATAAATGTTGTTTAATCTCTGTCTAAAATCCAAAACAATACCTAATATTTGGAAAACGTCTAAAGTTAGTCCTATATATAAAAAAGGTGACAGATCTGATGTTAATAATTATAGACCAGTGTCAATTATATGTAATTTTTGCAAGGTATTCGTGTTTTTGCTTCATGATTCAATTTTTTCTTTAACAAAAAATCTAATCTCACCGTATCAGCATGGTTTCATCAAAGATAATGGTCATCAAACTAATGTTATATATCTTGATTTCACTAAAGCATTCGACCGCTTAGATCACCATCTTTTGCTCAATAAGCTTTCACATTTTGGTCTCTCTAATGATTTAATTTGTTGTTTAAGTCTTGTCTTAACTGTCGTACTCAATATGTTGAAATTCGTGACTTTAAATTAACTCGACATGCTGCAGTATCAGGCGTGTCACAAGGTTCCGTGTTAGGTCCACTGCTATTCAATATTTTTATTAATAACATAGGCCATAAACCATTGTATAAAAGGGTCGAATGTATACAGGACTGTATTAAAAAAAATCTGGAGGTGATTGGTGAATGGTGTATATCAAACGGGCTTCAATTAAACATTTAAAAATGCAATAGTATGTCATTTACTAAAAAAAGACGCCAACTGCATGTCACTATTTACTGAATGGCAATCGAGTAGATATGTTTAGAGATCTAGGTGCCCTATTTGATACAAAACTATCTTTTTCTCATGACATAAATACTGTTATTTCTGAGGCGTTAAAATTATTTGGTTTTATTGTACGATGTACACGTGATTTCTCAAATTGTGATGTAATTAAGATACTTTACACATCATATATTATATCTAAATTGGAGTATGCGGAAGTTCTTTGGGCTCCGAGCTATGATGTCTATGTTAGCATAGACATCATCTTGGAGGGAATACAGCGGAAGCTTTTACAATATTTGACATATAAAAGTATTAGTTTTTATCCCGAGCAGTGTTATGCACATCATGATTTACTAAGCAGGTTTACCATTTCTTCATTAAAAAAATCGCAGAGAATATTATTGATTGTCCTGATATTTTATCAAGATTAAATTTGTATGTACCCAGAACAATTCAAAGGCATTTTAATATCTTTTATTTATCTACACCGAGAACGAACGCCTTAAAATTCTCTCCGTTTTATTTATTGTGTGATGTATGTAACAGTCAGTTAAATTTTGATATTTTTAGCCGTACTCTGTCAGCTATTTCCAGAGCATTGATTCATTGAAAACTGTGGCATTTCCTATTTTTCATTCTGTTTTCAACTCTTTTTGTTGCTATTTTCTTGTTTTGTTAACTCATGTAAGATGTATTTGTGCTTTTTCTTGTATTTTCTTGTCATGCTTATGTTATGCTTTGTATTTGGGTTTATACTTGTAAGGCAAGGACTTCTTAAATAAATAATAAATAAATAAATAAATATATATATTTTTTTAATTTAAAATAATGTATTAGGCTGGATCACGCATTTGGATAGACAAATTCTAATTATTTAAAAATGCCTTAAACATTAATAGATGCAGTAGCATTATTTTCCTCTGAGGATTGATCCCTTGGAATAAACTTTATTTTTAAAATAATTTCTGCTGATTCCGGCGCATTCGCCATTTTTTATGATATGATAACATACGTAGTAGGTACCTAATTGAGTGCGGATTTTTACAGTTGGTAACAATATTGCTAGCTAGCAAAATGAAATTCATCTCCGTGTGGCTAATTTAAAAATAAATGTTTGCTTTTCGTATAACTCGGTCGGAATTCAGCGTTTATTCTAAAAAATTACAGTTAGTGCATTTATTTATCAACTCTATTTGTTACAATAAAGGACCGTTTTATATTGGTTTCGTATTTGAAATTTTTATGAAATATATTATTGGAACATTTCATTTTTGCTAAAAATTAATTTTAAGACTGTATTTTCAGAACTTATTATGTCCATATGTAAATACATCGTTCAAAACTGCTTGTCATAGTTGTTGACAGTTTAATGAGTTATTAAAAATATGAATCTACAAAAGCAGGTCTACGTCCTTATCTAAAACTGACTCTTTGACGATCATTACTTGTTTGGCCCTAAATTCCACAGTTTTTGGCTAAAGCCAACCGTTGAGAAGATATTTTTAATTTCATAAATCAGTGTTACGGATTTATACCTCCACGAATACCAAGGTACAGACACTTTTGTTAATAAATTCAGAACGCACGAATCAACTGATACGACATTATTTTTCCTGTTTTAAAATTACTTTACTCTTTTTGCGTATTATTTTGCATAATTTCTATTTAATTGTTTCTTCGTTGTCTTTATTAAAAAACATATTTTCTTGCGCATGTGAAATTATTTAAACCAACCCTGCATTAAAGAAATCTCATATGAAATAACAGTTCAGGTAAAGAAATATTGCAAAATACTTATTTATTGTTAGTTTAATAATAATTATTGTTAGAAAAAAGAGCATGTTACGGGTTTATTTTGTCACCCTGTAAAATGCCGAATTTATTTTATTGCGGCAAGATCTAGACGATTCGGTTCCACAAAATACCTACATAACTATTTCAATTATAATTATAATTTATACTTAACATTACTTTATTGATAACCACAAAGAAAAAGATCAATAAATATTATTATATCAATTATTTCACTCCAGCTAGAAATGAACGGCTTTATAATTCTATCACCGCCGAGTATGGGCAAAAAGACGATAAGTTTTTGCGGCTTGAAATAAAATTAAAGACGGACTTGGTATTTAGGCTTGAAAGAAAGCAGTCAAAACGCAAAATTGCTGATCCACCCCAGTTGATTAATTAAATAATCCGTTGCACTGCGACCACTGGTTATTATCGTTGTAGCTAGAACGCAGATTAGTGTCTGGATTTTTGGTGTGAAGTGCAACAGGACTTAATAAGAAAGGCCGCACAACATCTCAGGTAAAGCGATTTGTCACATTTTGGTTTTAATGAGAGCCGTTTATACAAATTTGAGGAGGTGAATCTATTCACCCTCACTGCCTTTATTGCCCGCAATAACTCCGTTCATTTCTAGGCCTTTTCTTTGTGATTGTCTATGGTCGTCCATTCTGGGACCGACTTACATAATACATCGTGGAGCTAGCAGCTCCAATAATTTGATAACACCCAGTTAGAATATCGGAGATCGAGGAAACGAAACACCAGCCGCAACCCCAAAATTAGCACGTGGTCACTCCGTGGAGGACTACTTATCACCCAGGATCCTTATACCACCGGACGATAAGGTCATATTTATAATTTATATCATTATACGTTACCCGTTAGTCGTTCCAAGATTCACCCGGCGGAGCCACGCCCTTAAATGGTTTACCATTTTATTGAAAGAAGCCCTCAAATAATTTATGGCTATTTAATATTATATTATATTTAACGCTTATACGCCTGTAAACCTCATAGTATATACTACGAGGGCCTTCTTATTCCTCATATTAATTGTACTAAAATATATACCATTGGTTTGTAACACAAACGGGGACGTACTGGTTCTGGTTCTGTAACCGTTTAGGGTCTAGTGCCACCCCCTATTGCCTATTCTTATTATGATCATAGCTTGACCAATCAAAGCAGTTATTAGTCATAGTTAATTGAATTTTTTCTTTTCATTGCAATAAATCTTAAAGTTACTATACTCTTTCGTTATTTTATAATTTTCGTTTAGTTATCGTAGCCTTGATGCACCAGCAGAGATGGAGACTGCACCTCCACGCTCTATCTCACTGAGGTGCCGGACTCTCTGCTAACTTTGCAACCGATCAGTCACAAATAAAAAGGCTATATATAACTAGCAGTCTCGCCCCTTTTAGTTTTTTTTAGTATGCTACCAGGTCCATGAGTGGGCAAACGTAGCAAGCAAAACAACTAAAACCAAAAGTCACTTAACAACAGTCAATAGATAATTTAAGAGAAACAATTGGCTGACAATAAAAAAAACTCGATTTTTTAAAGGATATTTTCGAAGTACTTTCCATTTTCCTGTGAGCATCTACGATTAAAATTACGACGAACTCTTGAAAAAATAAGTATGTCACTCTTTACCTCCTCAGCTGCTGCAAAAAGTCTTTGACGAAGCATCTCCACACTATCAATAGGGTTCCGAATAAACAACATTTTTCAAGTTGCAGGATTTTACAAGATATTTCTAGGATTGGGATATTTGGCATGATAAAGTCGCAGCAGCAGCACAGTTCTTGTAACATTAAAAAAATACTTTCATCATATCGATATACTCGTCATTAGTATACATAATTTGTTATTTTATTCAATTTCAAAACTATTTAATATCTAGGGCGCAGATACATTTTTCACTTCGACACGCTGTATCATTTTTATTATGCGACCTGGGAAATAGGTATGTTAGATTAAATCGACTTATTTTCACCCAAGGAATCTGTGGTATCATTTGTGCCCCTCCATTTAAATACACCCTGTAGATGGTCATAATACCTAATGTAATTTTCTATAACGTATTTTTCCTATGTAACTCTAGAGGAGTATTGTCAAGGACCAACCTCCTGGCAGAGTCCGTGTGCGTTGTCGGCGAAAGCATAACATTTTACTTCCCTCACCTCAATCGGTGCATCTCCACGCCACGCATGAGCCGGCGTCCACACGCCAAACCAAGAATGAAGGCAGAAAACGCGCCAGTCGCTGTCGGCGAACGCAAACACTTAAACGCTCCTAAACAGCCTGCCGGCGTTCCATTCACGTCGAATTCGCACGTGTGAATCTTTCTTAAAAAGGAAAATAATGATACGAGCGCTGGATCTGTTCGATGTTCCCGTGTCGTGTTTTAAGTGCGATCTAGACTAATCGCTCGCTAAAGCCAAAATGGATTTTTCGGACAACAGCACCGAGCCGTTGTGCATGGGGTCCCAGAGGGACTCCTTGTACGTGGTGATACCTATAACTGTTATATACGTTACTATTTTCGTGACAGGGACCATCGGCAACATCAGCACCTGCATAGTTGTCGCAAGAAACAAAGTGATGCACACAGCGACCAACTACTACTTGTTCAGTTTGGCTATCTCGGACCTAGTGCTCTTGTTCTCGGGTTTGCCCCAGGAGATCTACATCATCTGGTACAAGTACCCCTACATATTCGGCAGCACGTTCTGCTTCCTCCGAGGTCTTCTAGCTGAAACCTCCGGCAACGCCACGGTACTCACCATAACTGCATTCACAGTAGAGAGGTACCTGGCTATATGCCACCCCTTCTTGTCCCACACCATGTCGAAGCTATCCAGAGCGATTAAATTGATCCTGCTAATATGGATCTTGGCTATCGGCCTGGCTATCCCACAGGCGATTCCGTTGAAGATCCTGGGGGTAGGAGACTGCACTCAGTGCACTGTCGACATGGATGAGGTGCTGGACCACATCTTCGAGGTGTCTACCTTTCTGTTCTTCATGGCTCCCATGAGTCTCATCACAGTTCTGTATATCCTGATCGCGATGAGGTTGAAGTCCTCGAGGATGATGAAGAAGAAGATCAGCACCAATGCTAGGATGCAAAGCAAGTCGTCGAGGAAGGTCGTGAAAATGCTTGGTGAGTTATCAGTTTATTTTACATGCAAATGCGATCGATATATTGCTTCTTTATTAAATAATGAGATCTATGTTCTGAGACAAAATTGTATATATGATATAAATCAATATCATCCTCGTTTTTCTAAAAGTATAGTAGTATAGTAACTGAGTTAAAACGTTACTTCTACACATTCAAATAAACAACTGCCAAATAACACAATGGCATCACAATAATGATGGTTCCTTTCAAACAACACAATTTTTGTTTAATTTCCAAGGCCTACTATTTCTATGTTAGCTTCCTTTAGTCACTGTCGACTACAGATTATTTCTGTTGTTTTTGCTGATTGTTCTAAAATAGCTACTCCAATAAAAAAATGTGACGTAACATTTTTTATTTAGAATTTGAAGATTTGTCATATTATGTTAAAAAAATATGGTGTTGCCATTAAAAAAAATATTGTTTTAGTAGCTATTGAACAAATCTGGCAACACCAGAAAGATTTATTTGCAAATTTTTATTAATCAAGTTATTTCCTACAACTTTGCATTTGGAAATAATAACCTATCACTTCAAATAAAAAAGTTGGCCTGTCAGGTTTTAAAAAAATTAAACTATATTTTAAATATTACACACTTACGTAGCCCTCCTCCTTCACTTTTCGTTCATTGTACAGGGTGATTCACTATATTTTGACCCCCCTTTAACTTTTTTGTTGTAAGAGTTATAAAAAAATGTGAAATATAAAAGTTGCACGATTTTTTATAAAATGATAGTAGAAAAATAAATGAAGTCCAAACAAAATGGCCGCGGTTGTTAACTTTGTTAAGTTAAATGGAACACCCTATATATTTTTACATATTTGGATAGAACGTTCCCTGTCGAGCATAGCCATATATGAATTGTTGGATCCATCTCTAACAATAAGCAAGATACTTAAAAAAAAAGAAAAGGTTTTTTTATTAAGAAAATAATACATCTTCTAATTGTTAGACCTCTTTCAGGCATTTCTGCCTTTTTTCCATTTACGTAAGGATTTACAGATTTAGTTATAATATATTTTGATATATCGCACATTGATACGGTCCAAAATGCGTATAGGTAATGTAATGAAATCTCACTAATTAGGTCGTGAGAGGTCTAATTACTCATGGACATTATGTGGTAGGTCGTGGCAGTAACAGGTAGTAATGTCTTCACCATATTGTTATTGATTGACAGTATGTATTATTATTTAATTAAAATAGGTTACACAGAAGTAGAAAATTATTTAGAATTAAAATAGAGTATGGAGAAGAACTTTGCTCCGTTTTAATTCCTACAATATTTCAATTTTCTACTTCTGTGTAATCCATTTTAATTAAATAATAATACAAACTGTCAAACAATAACAATGTTGTCATGACATTACCTGTCACTGTCACGGCCTACCATATAACATTGTCCATGAGTAATTAGGCATCTCACGGCCCAATTAGTGCGATTTAGTTAAAATATGTACCTATACCTATATATACTATATATACCTATATCAATGTCCGATCTGTCAAAATATATTATAACTAAATCGGTAAATGCTTATGTAATTGGAAAAGGCATAAATGCCTGAAAAAGGTTAAACAATTACAAGATGTCTTATTTTCTTAATAAAAAACCTTTTCGTTTTTTAATAGTATTTCGCTTATTGTTAGCGATGGACCCAACAGACCCGACATGATTATGCTCGACATGGAACGTTCTATCCAAGTATGTAAAAATATACAGGGTGTTCCATTTAACTTAACAAACTTAACATCCGCGGCCATTTTGTTTGGACTTCATTTGTTTTTCTACTATCATTCCCAACTTTTATATTTCACATTTTTTTATAACTTTCAAAACAGAAGAGTTAAAGGGGGGGTCAAAATACGTGATGTGGTCATCGTGTTCTTTTTTAATGGTTTTTCTTAATGGAACTCCTATAGTTTGAATTCAACAATTTACAATAGTTACAACAGGTACTTTATTTATTCAATTTCGTAGATAAAAAATAATTTGTAAAAATATGTGAATTGTCTCCGAAGTGGCTTGGTTTAAGATTAATATCCATCGATCGAAATAGAACTCTTCGTATGTTTCTCCATTTTTTTTTACCTCCGGAAGTATAACACCTAAGGTCGTATATTTAAGGAATAACCCAAGTCACGCGATGTATTATGTTAGACGTTTAGTACATTATTAAATATAAATCCATGTACGAGTGAGTTAATGTAAACAAAAACATCTTAATGTTTACTAGAACTTAACAAAAACGATAAAAAAAATAATGAAAATGATTGTTCTCGAAACAAACAGGAAATGTTATTTTCAAACTACATACATACGAGAAAATATATTTATTTATTTGAATTACAATCTTCTTAATCACCCAGAGCAAAGTTCATTGCAGAAACAGTCCAAGTCCGGAATTTGTTAGTCTGGGTTATTTCAGCACAATAAGAATTTGTAGTGTTGTATAATCAGTAGTATATGTGGTTCTTTCAATCAAACGACTCGCCACCCACAGCACAAAAATCTCAAAATGGCCGAAATGTGATTTAGGTTGTTTGTGAAATATGTGATTCAATTTTATATTGGTAAATTCAAAAAGCTACAACAATCTTCCTCAAAATTATCTATTGTATTCTATCTATACCTATTATATTAAAAAATATATGATGATATTATGTAAATTGGACGTGAAAAAGGCGGGGATATACAAAAAGTTTATACAAAAGTTGTACAGAATCAAGAAACCTGCTAAATGACAAAATTAATTTGAAACATACAGGGCGATGAGTAAAAACGAGACACGCAAACATTACATGTTTTAAATGGAACACCCTGTATATTTTTAAACATGGATTTCTGAGAAAATTGTATATGGTAATATAAACAGTTTAACATTTTAGTGCGGAACAAAAATATTTGACAGAGTTATAAGCAAATGTTAAGCAAAGACTACTATATTAGCTAATATATCGATATTTTAGACAGGGCATTTTTTATAATACGATTATTTTTAGAAAGTTCAAACTTGATTTTCTAAAATTTTTCAAATATAATACCCTTTTATTGTTCTATTTTATTCACATATCAGTCCACTTCAACTTTTATTAAGTATGTTCTACACCTAAAGTTGTTAGTTTTTAAGATATAGCAACATTTCTGAAAAAACGTAATTTTTCAGTCGCACGAGATGGCTTTGGAAAAACTGTCACATTATGTCAACTTGTCAGTTCATAATTTATCATTCCATTTTGAGTTAGTTTGATTAGTTAATGTATTTGTGGTATTCTATAAAATAATAAAAATTAAGTTCTTTGAGAAATGTTGCTATATCTTAAAAACTAACAATTTTAGATATGGAGCAATAAAAGTTGAAGTGGACCTATATGTGAATAAAATTGAATAATAAAATACAGGGTGTTCCATCTGAAAAGTTTTAGAAAATCAAGTTTGAACTTTCTAAAAATGTTCGTATTATAAAAAATGCCATTTGAAATATCGATATTAGCTAATATACACTAAAACCGCTGTATCTTTTCCATTGCGTCACATGCAATATTCGTATGAACTAAGACGAAAAATCCTAGTCAAATTAGTCACTGTTTTCATACAATTGAAATGTCATCTTGACAATTCCCAAATCTGGATATCTCGCAAATTTTAATATTGGTAAAAAATTGGTAAAAAAATCGATATTTAAACGCTCAGAAAATACATACAAGAGTTAGTACAGAGACGCGATCAAAACAACTGTCAAATTTTTAATTTGAGTCAGTGTTTTTTTTTGTTAAATACGCTAGTCAAACTACAGTCTAAAATTAATACCCAACAAAATATACAGGGTGTTCCATTTAAAAAATGTAATATTTGGGGTGTCACTGTACAACTTTTATATAAACTTTTTTTCTGTATTATGAGTAACAAGGGAGTTATTTCACTTTCTCACACTAATGGCCCACCCTGTATAAAAAGTATATTTTAAGATCCTAAGTAAAGAAAATAGGTAGTTCTTCAGGACAACTGTTGACGGACTTTGTAAGTTTGAAAATATCTTTTATTTTCTACTCAACTATAAAGCAAATTTAATGATAGCTGTTTTACATTGACAATTTATTGATCAATTAATTGATGAAGTCGCTTCATCAAGAAATTGGACAAGTGTAATGCACCAAATCAGCTGTCAAATAACTTCATCAATTTATTCATCAAGTTCTTGACGAATTAGGAATTTCTTCGTGAAGTTCGGAAACACCAACCCAATATGTCAATAACGATACCGCTGTTGTATCACTACAATTATGAGTGGAAAGGCGACATTTTTGAAATTTATTTGCTTCTTTGATTCATTGATAGAACTGATTCATACGTCAAAAACTTGACAAAGTCCGTGGCAGTGTAAAACCACACTGTTTATCAATAAATTCGTCAATTAATTGATGAAGAACTTCGTCAATTTATTGATGAATAAATTGTCAATGTAAAACAGCTATGAGATAGGTATTTAACAAACTAAACCAAAATTAAATTAATTGCGGTACACATTATTAATAATAGAAGTGACCAATGTATTTTATTCGATATAACACAGCTACGTCGTTTCTAATGTTATAAGTTCATATATTTTGTATAAATTTATATTATATCTTCAAGGTGTTTATCAATTGGTGTTTAGTAGTTTTTGACAAGGACAAACTCCGATTGCGACCGAATGCCCTTCCAAAAACCAAACAATACGATTATTTATTAACTTGTTTTCGTGTCTGCAGCAAAAAGAAAAGCAAAGGAGAATACATTAATGTATTATACCTTAACCTTCGTTGATTACGAAAAATAAATATTTCGGGGAATAACAGAGTAACTATACCTGAAAACAAATCATTAGTGGCAAATGCGTTAAATGCTTATCTGGTAAAAAAGTGATTAAAACTAACAGAAAGTGTTTGCCAAAACATCAAAAAATTTAAATACAGAAATACATTTTTTTATTGTAT